CTTTAAAATACGACTCATAAATAGAACGCCCGCATGCATGCTAGTTCAATGCTCGGCGTGATCACTGGGCCCCCACCTTGACCTATTGACGGCCCAAATCCGAGCCGCCTTTTATCTTAATGTTAATTAAGTTTGTCCGTTCATTATTGTTATAATTATAAATCATGGTCCCATCGATTAATTAATTATTCACTATAGTCATGTAATAATTCGTTGATTTTTCGTTCGAGTACGACAAGGTACGACCTGGGGTGACGACACCGCTAAATCGAATACTGGGAAAACAATAATAATCAGAAAGGGGAAAATAGAGGAGAATGAATCTGGACCGTGGAATCCGATCTGAGTGGAGATACTGTAGCTGTAGAATAGATACAGTTGTCACCTTCGTGATGAGAGAGTTGAGCCAGGCCAGCTGCAGCAAGTTGGCCTTTCTTCTTCGCACTTCCTTTTCATCCCATTTCCTGACTTGATCATTTTCAACCGTTGGCTCCTCACCCTCTTCTCCCGAGATATTTTTATTTACTTTCCTGATCTTTCTGTCCACATGGCCCCACCAACCCATAATCATTCATAAACATGAAAACATTACTTTTCAGTTTTCGCGAGTAATAACATATCCTCCTTCGGCTAAAAAATATGATTTTTTTAAAAAAGGTTATGTGTCAATAAAATTTTTATTTTTTAAAAAATATATACTTCCTTCATCTTAAATTATAAAATAATTTTAATAAATATTTAACATTTTAAAATATAAAATATTTTGATACAAATAAATTTTTATTAGTGATACTTTTTTAATATTATTATTTTTACTTTTTTCAGTATTCTTTTACTAATGGAGCATTGAATAAATGATATTTTTAAAAGTTTATCATTTTTTTTTAAAAAATAAGGTTATAAAGTGTATTTAATAAGTTTTATTAGTATGAGATATTTCGTCTAGATGTGTATTATAATTTGAGACTAAAGGAGTATTATTTTTATTCCTAGTTTCAATTATTAATACATATGATGAGTAAGATTGTAAGAGATACATTTATATAAATATTTAGATTAATGAATATAATGGATAAAATGAGATTTTTTTTTCATGTATTAAGTTCCTTATATTTTGAACTAATATTAACTAAAAAGAAATGCTTATATTTTATATGAAAAAGAGTATACTTTTTTAGTAAGTCTTGTGAGCAGGCTCCAACAATAATAAAGAATACCTTCAAAAAGATGCTAGAAGTAATGAGTAAATATCTTCCATTTAAATTGTTACATACAAAATGATGAAGATCTGAATCACTAAACACTTATTTATCAATATTAAAAGCATGTTTAATTTGAAGGAAGGGGAGGGATTTTAACAGAGGGAGGGAAGGATTTGATGTTACTTTATTCAATTTAAAAAAGGAGAGGGAAAAAATACTATATATAAACAATTTTACTCTTATTTTATTAGTGTTTAGATTTTAAAAAATTGTATCTACATTTTTTAAACTCATTATGGAAGGCATATTGGTTAGAGTGTAATAAATTTTATCCTTCCCTTCCCCCCAATTCTCTCATCCCTCCAATTTTTTAAGCTAAACAAAAGGAGAGGATAAAATCTCTTTTCTCTTTTTCCCTCCTCTTTCCTCCAACCAAATGTCTCTAAAATTATTTACTGCATGCTTGAAAATAGGACGGTGAAACGGAATTTACGAAATAAATATAACAATTTCATTCCAAGTAAATGGTGTTGGATTTCCTCCGCAAGAAAATTAAGTAAAAAGCGGGCAAATAGAAGTGATAGTCAGTCACACGCGAGCTAGTTTTAATATTCCCCAATGCTTTATTAGATCAACATATTTATAGATCCAAAAATTAAATTGTACTCGTATCTTGTATTTTTTATTCCAGCCCAGTATTCTGAAAAATATGGCATATTATCTCTTCTCACTTAGACAAACCGAAAATATAGTTATTATTAATGGCAACCTTATGGATACTCAGATTATATATTGTACAATTACGTCCACTGTGCATTTAAAAGAGAGTAACTTCAAGCAAATACAATTACACATAAGATTTAACTTTTATTATTTATTTTTCATAAATACAATTACACATAAGATTTAAATTTTATTATTTATATTTCATATCTTTATTGAAGTGTAGTATTATAAGCGAAGCACTTTCTCATGAAAAACGTCATATTCCATCCCGACTACAGTATAAATTATTAATATCTAATTTATATATATTTTTAAAAAGTTAGTTAAAATTGTTATTTTTAAATTTTTTTACATCTTTCCAACCATATTCTTAAATTTAATAAATATAATATTTAATTTATTTAAAATATTTTAAATGGAACATAATAAAGTATAAATATATACAAAACCTACTCATACTCTATATTTCTAAATCTAATTGAGGAGGTCTTCTGACAAAAATAAAAAAAATAAAAAATCCTACACTCCTAGTTGGTAAGGGCTCAACCGGTTAACTCGCAACAAAAATACGCGGTAGGTTGAAAAATGAGTTCACTCCTATGTGGAGTGATTTTGGCTGGCCCCTCATGGCTTACTTGAATCTCGGGTTAGCCTGCTTATTATTTTTTTAAAAAGACAGAAATTGTGGAATCACCCTTAGTTCTTAAATCCATTAAAATTTTAAAACTGAATTATCCACAGACAATTAATTATAAAAATTTTAAAAACTTTTAATATTGAACTGGGTCATAAGATTAAATCTATTTTATCCAAATTGATAATAAAATAAATTTCTTAATTTTTTTATAATTTTTATTTTATTTTAATAATCACAGAATAAAAAATAAATAAAATTTGTTAAGCTGGACTGTCCAAAACCAAAACTAGACTTGAGATATTATCATATATCTTCAACAACTAAACTAATAAACCTTCCCTGCAGGATAGGAAGCCTTCATTTGGACAACAATGAGGTGAAGAATAAATTTTCGTTGGAAATTGACATGCCATGCTGCACTTTTTATTCCATATAACATAAAAGAGAAATGAACTTGATTATGTCAATAAAAATAAAAGAAAAGACATTAAAATTTTTGTACCGCAATAACTATATCTTCTCGTATATTTGTTAGACTTTTACATGTTAATTATATTATAGCTTCCAATAAAAGCTTCTAACATTGTGATTGATTAGAAAAAAATCTTCAAACTTTATATTGCAATTAAACTTTTTACTATATTTGTTTGTAATTGATATATATATATATATATATTGAAATGTATTAATGTATTTTCAATTATTTTTGTAATATATAAGGAATTTTATTATTATTTGGATAATTAATTTTTAAGGAGAAAATATAATTTTTTTACCAAAAAACAATGAAAAAAGTGAATTTGTAATTTTTATAATTACAAAATAATGTACACATTTTATTTATGGGTTAGCTAGTTGATAGAAATACAACTTGCACAATAAGCAAGTTTTGCCAATTGTTGGTTGCGGCTCACTGATATTACTAGCTCTACCTATACTATGGTGCTGGGAATGCTATCAGGTACAAAGTGAGAAAGGAAAAAAATTTTAATTAAGGACCATGGCAACAAAATATTTACCAAAGGCCCCAACAAAATTTATAAATTTTCTACAGAATTTCTGGACTAAATTAAAATAAAATTGGTGGTCAAAAATACTAAAATATCCTCTTGCAAAAGAAAGAAAAATAATTGATAATTGATATTTATAAATTAACAAGTAAAGTTAGAGAATTAACAACCAATGATTATACATTTAGGACAAAATAACTGAACCAGTGTGGTCATTGAGAAGTCATGAAATTTACAATTGATATTAATAAATTAAGAAATAAAAGTTAGAGAATTAATAACTGATATTAGTATGATTATTGACAAGTAAAATCAATAATTTATAATTAATATTGATAAATTAACAAATAAAATAAAAAAAACTAACAACTAAGGATGATGTTTTTGATCAAATTAAACAAACAAATTTTGTAAATGATTCACAAGTAAAGTTAAATAATTAACAAATCAAGTTAATAAATTAACAAGTAAAGTTAACAAATTAAAATTAACTATTTAACAAGTACTATCAAGGAATTAGCAATATCAAGGAATTGGCAAGTACAGGCAAGTAATTAACAAGCAAAATTAAGTAGTAATTAAGTACTTGTTAATTTTATAAAAGTGTATTTTGATCTTTTTATCTGTCTATCTTATTTCAATTGAATCCATAAATCATGTAGAGAATTTTCATATTTTTTTGAGACTTATAAGATAAATATCTTTCTTTCATGATCCTTAACTAAAATTTTTCTTAAAAAAAAAAAAACACTCCGTTTAACCTAGCTCAATGTGTTTTGTTTTAAGAGAATTACGTAAAAGTCTCAAGTTTAGTTGACGTTGGAATAATTAATCATAGTTGCCAGACTTGTGCGTAATTTTCTGTTTTGTTTTCATTTTTATTTTTTAAAGTACTACGAGAAACTCTAGTTTGTGTGAAATAAATTAAGTATTTACGTTCTCAAGGTTGGACACGTGTCCCTATAACTAAACAGGTGGGTGGTGAATCACGATATTACCGGGGCTAGTTGGCAGATTTTCCCAAAAGTGAACTGGCATTTGAACACTTGGCAGCATGGGAGCGGCTAGATCTCAAGTGTAGACTTTCGGTTCCCATAAAAAGGCGCGTCGGACTGAAATGTCCCTCAACCTTCGAACACACTAAACCCAAAAATCTTGGTTGCTCTTTATTAATAAATAATAAATAAATGTAAGTAAATGCTATGTTAATAACCCGTTGTTGCTAATTCACTAATTAAGTGGAGTGAATGGGGGGACCGATTCGGCCCAAAAAAAAACGGGGGGGGACTGACCGGCAACTTGATGCGCCTGTTTTGTACCAGGGGCGAATATTAAACTGCAGAAACGCGAACCGCGTTCGTACCGGTAGCGCGTCTTGATATTTTTCTTTTTCTTTTTCTCTCTTCACAGGTTCGGAGTTGGGTTGTATATATAAATATATATCAGCCCCATTCACGCTTGCTCATTTTGATAAACCCAAGCTGAGGCTGTACTTCACTGGAGGAGTCGAGCCTCAACATTCGCCGGCGTCCGACGGAAGAATCACTCGTTCAGCTCCTTTTTCATGCAATCGAATCGGAGTAAGTGGGCTTTTCCATTTTTCGTTCCCCGGGATCACGATATTCTCGAGCATCGTGCAGCTTTGATGTTGTTTTGGGCTGCGTTCTTCTCCGATCCGATTTTCATGTGAAGAGTAATGATTAGTTATGGAAGTGGGGTTCGTTTGTTTTTACTAGAAATTGTTTACTGATTCTGTGTTTTTAAATTTGCAGGTTGAAAGGAAGAAAGACGAAGAGCCCTACATTTTTGGGTGAAATTTTAGAAGTGTTCCAAGTTTCTCTTCTGTGAAACCTAAAAGTCGTCTTTTGGATCTAGCTTTCCAGGACCAGGACTCTTAAAAATCTTCTTGATTTCCTTCCCTTTTTAAACCTCATAGTTTCTCCTCTTTAAAGCCTTAAAATTCACTACTTTTCCTCACAATTTTTACCCAGAAAGCTAAGAAATGGGAGTGAAAGTAGCTTTAACCTGTTTGCAATGGTCACAGCCAGTTCTTCCTCATTCCCCATCCTCTTCTCAGACTCTAGCCTCTGCAATCTCATCTCCTTCCTCCAAACGGGGAAATCGTGGCAGCAATGGAGGAGGAGGTGCTCTAATATGTCGATTAGTTGGAAGATTGGACAGGTCGAGCCTAGTTGGTTCCCAATCAATGCGGCTTTGCAGGTCTCGATCTTGTGATTACCCTCTCGCGGCATCTAGAAAATTAAGATTCACCTGCAGTTCCAGCTTTGACTCATGTTCGGACGAAGAATTCTCGAAGAAAATTGAAGATTTAGCTCTCAGATTCCAGCTCTCCGATGAGAAAAATAATGCCACAGATTCAGAATCACATAGTTTCGGTGAAGATCAGACACAAAGCCCAGTTTCCGAACTAAAGAGCATTGAGCCTCCCTGGGTGGAAATCCAGAAAGACCCGCCGGATTGGAGCACTGGTGGCAGCGACGAGATTATTCCATCGATTATTGAAAGAAAAGCGAACAGCGTGGAGCTTCCGTTTTCTTTGAGAATCATAAAGAAGAAGTTGCAGTGGAAAGAAGGCTTCAGAGAGGCAGGTGAATCTGCTTGTTGCTCTGTAAAGAAAGCTTTCTCTTCCATGGTGTTCATAATCCGTGAGCTCCATAGCTATACGCTGCAAATGAGAGAGATCCTATTTTACGAAGATCTCCACGAGATCCTTGCTCGAGTCCAAAAAGAAATGCATGCGTCGTTCGTTTGGCTGTTTCAGCAAGTCTTCTCTCACACGCCCACTCTCATGGTCTACGTGATGATTCTTCTTGCAAATTTCACTGTTTATTCAATGGGGCACAACGCCGCCATAGCCGCGGCTCCACCGCCCGCTTCCACGACGGAGATTGCTTCCGCCAGTGAAATTCAGCAAAATAAGAAATTTGATTCGTCGGCGATCAAGACATTTTCGGTCTCCTCTTCAAGCGGGAAAACAACGTCCATTGGGGGTAACATTGGCGGCGGCGGGAAAGTCCGGCCAATTGCCAGCGGCACAGATGGAGGCGATGGGGGGTTTGACAGGTCGGATCACTACCACCGTACAGTCCTTCCCCATGGCGGCTCAACTCAGTTTTCCACCGTGGGAACAACTGGGGAAACAGTGGAAGAGACTGGAGCGAAGGAAAATGATGAGGAGGCGCGTTTATGGGAATCCATTGTGGACGAAGCTAGGATAATGGAAGCAAGTTCTAGGGCTGAAGCTCTGGACCAGGAGACCGTGAAGCGGTTCGTTTCGCCGGTATCGGCGAGAATCGAATCCGACGACTACGCGGAGTACCTCAGGACAGAGCTTCTGTACCAGACAGCGTTGTCTCAGGAACCCAATAACCCTCTTCTCCTAGCGAACTACGCTCAGTTTCTCTACCTGGTTGCCCATGATTACGACAGGTTCGTCATCTCTCGGCCATGTCCTTGCACTTGCATTAAAGTTTTTCAGAATTCTTATCATTATTTCAAGAACAAAAGGTTTTGGTAAAAAAAAAAAAAAGTACAAAAGGTCCAAATCTGGCGCTTTAGATAGACCGGGAATAAACACCTCGAAATTGTTTTTTAATATGAAAATCTCAAAATTTTATTCATTCAGAAGCAGACCAAACGGCAAGATCAATTTGTGCACTAAAACTTTGACAAGGAAATTTGTGGTGTAGTTCCTGTTCACCACTGATTCATGAGCGTGATCTATCATCTTCCTCACGTGAGACCCACGTGCATGATAAGAAAGATCTCGCAACCAATCCCGTTGACCGCGACGACTTCTACGTGTATAAATATTCGATGTATGTAGGGGCTGATGGAAAAATTAACGGAAAAAGAGGCTCGATTTTTCATTTTTCATGAAAGTAAAGTTGCTTGCATGTGAATGAAAGTACTAGTGGCCAGCTTGTTTGACCATGAAATGGTGAAAGTATTATTAATTAATATTGATGTTAGGGTGTGAACTGTGAACAGGGCTGAAGAGTACTTCAAGAGAGCGATAGGAGCGGAAGGCGCTGACGCGGAAGCCTACAATAAATACGCAACGTTCCTGTGGAAGGCAAAGAACGACTTGTGGGCAGCAGAGGAAACCTACTTGGAAGCCATTTCTGCGGAGCCCACGAACTCGTATTATGCTGCTAATTACGCTCACTTCCTCTGGAACACTGGTGCTGAGGACACTTGTTTCCCTCTTTCTTCTCCAGACACCTTCCAAGAACTTCAATAATTTTGATCACATGATGCTAGGAACCAGGAAAAAAAAAATCACAAAAGAAAAAGCAAATTTTGTTAGTTTATTTTTTTTCCTTTTAAAACTGGATTAGGAAGTCCGAGAATGAGATCGAGTACTTGAGGAAGGTGGGACTGGGGAGCAAAGTAAACGACGGTACGTTTAAGGGAGGCGATATTGTTATTTAATTGGCGTCGCCTTCACGTTGGAGATCTGTGGAGAGGGAGGTGGCCTATGATTGAAGAGTAGGAAGATATGGCGTGGGAATGGGTGGTGGGGAGGTTCTGCTTTTGCACATATTATCGCGTTTCTTTTTTTTTTTTTCGAGTTTTTCGCTGACACAATCGCACGGCAAATTGTAATTAAAATGTTTTTCTTTGTTGATAATATGAATGCCGTTTTTGGGACTTGTTTATTCTCACGATGATAAGATGAGATGAGAAACTTCACGATGATGTTGGGGACAATAAGAGCTTCGTGATTCACGTGCAGCACTGTTGCATATTTCTTTTAATAATTAATAATTAATTTGCCATTGATCTCAATATAATTCAATAAAAGGAATATTTTTTAAGCAGCCCAAACCAATTTTTTTTAAAAAAAATTATCATGCTTGTGCGAGATTTCTTTTGAAAAATATTTAAAATTCATTAAATAAAAATACACTAAAAGAGATATTGGATACCAGAAATGAGAAAACTGTGTCAAGAAACTATGAAAAAACTAACAAGAATAGAATCCAAGTCTACATCGACGGGTTGGATTATAGACATTTCTTAAATGCTGGGTCATTATTGGTCAATAAACTGAATAACCAGGCTGGCGAGGAGATATTTCGTTGTAAATGTCAGGGAAGTAAGGTGGAAATTAATTGGACGTGGGAATAGTATTAAAAATTAATAGTTGGTTGAATAGGGTGTGGACAATTCTTGGTGGCCGGGGCGTGGGAGTGCAGTTCAATGAATGAACGAATGAATAGTAATGATTTATGAAATATTTATATATTTGTGTATATATATACATGAGCACGCGGAGAATGAAAGACTGGAAAATGAAAGCAAAGAATATAATGCACAGGCATCGCTAATTTTGGAGGTCTAGCAACGAATAATATCTCTTATTTATGGTTGTCCTCATCCTCTCACGCCCAATTTCCTTCTCTCCAAAGCAATTCATTTCTGCATATATTCTTTCTTTCTTTTTAATTCATTCGCTTCCTCATGCGTTGCATTTGAACACAGATCTGCACGTTGCAGACATACAATAGAGATACACACAGTACTGTTAATAAATTAAATAAAAGAAATACATGGTGGGAAAAATAAATAAACAAACAAAAGAAAACAAGGGCGTGAAAAATGCATATAGATTCGGTGGCTACTGAAAAAAATGCATGTACGTCGTCGTTTCCTTTAGTGCAGGGCAATATTCATCTTCGTAGAAGTCCTTAATTTCATTTTTTAAGGAGAAAGAATTTTAACAATTGAAAACTAACATATTTATAGTTTTATTGGAATAAAATAAACTACAGGAACTTAATTTAAAATAAAATAAAATTATGAGGACTTGTACATTAATTTTTTTATAATTACTTATATCTTTATCATCAGGATTTTATATTTATAAGAAGTTATACAACAACAAAAATGACATGCCTTAACATTTTTTTTTTTTGTGATTGGATATTTCAATAAATCTCGGCCACAAAATTTTAAATCTTAATCAAGCCATGGAGATGGAATGTCACGCTAAACATAACAAAAGTCGTTTCACGAAGTAGGGGTTCTATCGTGTGACGCGAGAACATTGGGTCCAGCGAACAGGAAATTCAAACAGGAGAGGGACGTTGGTAGAATGTGGTATAATTTACAGAGAAAATTAGGTGTGTCTCCAACTTTGTATGAATTTGAAGATTAAAAAGCTACTATATCGTACATTGCTCATAAATAGTCCTATATTTTAGATACGTGATGGGAGGGGCATTTATAAAATCAAACAGGGCTGGTGGAATGGGGTCACAAGAATTATACTGAGAGATTTCGTAGAGGACTCCGACTCAGTAAGATAATTTAATTTTAAAAGAACATTTTTTAAATATTAATTTAATGATTAAAAATAATAATTAAACTATGATTGAAATTGTAATAATACAAGAAGATTGCCCGTCATTTTTTTTGAAAAAATTATATTGACCAGGTTGATATAATTTTTCATGTAAATATACTTTTTATATCTTATTGTAATCATTGAAATATTTTATATCTAGTAAATGTTTGAACCAGAATATTTTTTATTCAGTTCAGGGGTACAAAATATCTAGAGTGAAAAAAAATGCAAAGTTACAAATTAAATTTAACATGCCCGAATTGTATTTTTCCCAAAGTGTGGTCTCATACCGTAAATCTGGACCATTAAGTTAAATTTAATAATCTTGAAAATTTTAAATTAATATGTAGAGTTAAAATTTGATGTAGACCGTTGGATGGATGGGGGATAATTTGTAAGGAAGAGAAACCAAGTTCAGTGTAACGTGGGGGATGAAGCCAGGCGGAAAATGACGGCATGTTCACGTTAAGGCTACAGTAACGAGTTGGGGTGCGACTGTAACGGAGTGGTTTAATGTTTATAGCTTGATGAATCCGACCGCCGTCCATTTCCTCGTCAAATCCCACCACGCACTGCTTTTTCTGGTCCATGCCTTTCCCTTTCACTTCCCAATCCCATTATTCTCTATTCAAAAAATACAAAATATATTTTAAAAAATTAGATATTTAAAAATATAAAATGTTTTTAATTTTTTAAAATGTAATCATTATTTTTTTAAAAAACAACTGTATTGATAATAATTTTATATTTATTGTGGAGTGTTTAATAAGAATTAACATAAAAGGATAAAGTTAATTTAAAAATAAATAATTATTTTATTAAAGAGTAAAATTTAATTAAAAATATTTTATATTTTTTAATAGAAGGAGTATTTTCAATGGCCTTCACATTAATAGACTCCTTCACGTCAAATGATGAACGATTGAACACTCAAGTTCACATAATATACGTCTCACGTCTCGCTAGCCCCTTCATTACTTCCCTCTTGCTTAATTCTTTTTGTTGAGATACTCATCGTGCACTCTTGTCTCTCCCTGCACCTGGTTGTTTCAGATCAAGCCGTTAATTGGAGCTGAACTTTTCAACGTTCTCATTTAAGCTCTATATTTTTTGAGGGTTGGGTTTAAAAAACCAAAAAACTTTTGAATAACAGAACTTTTAGATCCAATCCTTATAAATCATTAAAAAAATATGCTCAAGTTCGAGTTAGCTTTTTGAAATCCTGTATTTTGCTCTTTTTTTTCCCAGGGAGCAATTAATATATGAAAATGACATAGTTGAAATTGTCTAGATTATTCTCATTTTTAAATTAATATTTGAAAATGACATAATTTTTTAACTCATGTATAAGCATAATTGGAAGTTTAAATAAAATTTTAAAAAAAGTTATACAAGCTTTCAGACTTGGTCTCGAGCCTTGTTAATGAGAGTGGATCTTGAAAAACATGGTTAATTTAATATACACAAAATTATGAAATTAAGCTCTTAAGGCTGACAAATCTGTATTAACAGCTCAAGTTTAATGTGGTTTTACAACACTAAATAACTGTGATAATATAAACGATTTCTGATAAAACATGCTGTAATTATCATATTTACATGTAAAAAATAAAATCATGAGAATCGCTCACTTGGCATTTAGGGACCTATATAGACAAATACACATCGAAATTATCACTTGGAACGCTCAAACGATGAAGACCAACACGTCGTTAAGATTGATGCTTCTACGCCCATAAGGGAGAGGTTGAAGCCCGCCTTTTCAGGAAACTCGTGGCCTAGCTCGCGGATATGTATTGGGTGGCCCACAGAAAATATAAACAAAACAAAGGACAATTTTTGGTAATTAATAGAGCTAAGCAATTTAAATTATAATCAGATGAAAACTCAAACCCCCCCCTTTTTTTGGTTTGAAGAACAAAACCCAACCTTTAATGTATTTAATTATATAATAATGTCCAGTAACTGGAAATTAACTCAAATTTATGTCAATGTCATTAATTATTCTATAATGGTGGTTAAGCAAATTAAAATCATAATTCTCATTTTTCCTCAATCAATATCCATAATATATAATTCAATGCACTCTATACCCTCTACCTTTCCCCATTTCTCTCTCTGTGGTGTATATATATTTAGATGGATAAATATGTATTACATATGACAATTATGATTATTTTAAAATAATATTACAGCAATTATGAATTGATAACAACTGCACTGATTCCTCCCCAATCCTACATTTTTGTCCGAGGGAGGAAGTTAAGGAGTTACAAACCATCATTGAATCTCCACCGTTGGATTAACTCCAAGAGGAACGGCCATTGTTGATCCATATTTGGCTTATTACACGGCTCGAAACAATCACCATGGCGATAAATTAACCAAAGTTCTTAATTCTGCTTCCATGGAAGGCCAGAGCAAGACTATCACTATGCCTCTGAACAACCCTACCATTATTTCCATGCACCGATCATCGCCTTCTTCTTCTTCTTTAGGGCCTCCTCTGAGTGCCATAGACAGGTTCTTGTGGGGCCAACTCAGTCACTTGCAGTCTGCTCTGTGGCCTAATAATATCTGTACCGATGAAGAAGAGATAGAAGCAAGCTTGATGGATGGGTTTATAGCAAATAACGAAGCAGCTCAAATGATCCCTACCGTGCTGAAGAAACAAGTGCAGGTGCTGGGGAAGAAAGCTTCATCTGGTAACAATACAATGGTGGCGGGAAAGAGAAGCAACAAGAAAGGGTCTTCTTCTGCGTCGTTGATCAAAGGACAATGGACTGATGAAGAAGATAGGTACATATGAACAGAGGAAGACTTTGATATATCAGTTTGAAGATGGAGATTGTTATTTCATGTCATTGGTTTTGCACGTTTTAATATTTTACTGTGGATGAAGGAAACTGGTGAAGCTGGTAAGAGAACATGGAGTGAGGAAGTGGGCTCAGATAGCTGAGAATTTGGAGGGAAGAGCTGGGAAGCAATGCAGGGAGAGATGGCACAATCATCTACGTCCTGATATTAAGGTCTGTGATTAATCTTTTCTTCAACTTTTATCAATGACCTTATAGCTAGGGTTTATGACCATATAACTTGTCTTTTCATTTTCTTTTTCTCTTGTAAACATGTAAATGAGGGGGGAAAAGTTGAAGAGAGTTTCTGTTATTAATCAAAAAAAAAAAAAAACTCGCTTCAGAATTTTTTTTTAATGAAATGTGGCGTAGATTTTTTAATGTGATTTACTCGCGTTTCGTTGAAAAGAGTTCATGATAACTTGAAAAGAAACACCAGAGATTATACTTTGAAATTTATGCATAATTTCTAAGTTTATTTGAAAGTATATATCTGTTTATTGATATTTATTGCAAAGGATCTATCTTTGGCATCTGATCTAAAGATACTGCTTTATATCGTCTTGTAATTAACTGGGAAATCAGTAAATCCTCGGTGACTTCTGACATTTCCATGAACATAATTATTCATATATTTTCCCCATCTTTCTAGATCCTGCTTTTCCTTCCGCAGATTCATGTTTCGCTTGATATTTAGATTTAGATTTAGATTTAGATTTAAATTTAAATTTAAATTATTATTATAGCTTGTAAATTTTTATATTCTGAAACAAAAAAAAATTTAGATATTAGTTATACGCCAAATTTCATTTTAACAACATAATTGTTTTATTTTAAAAATTCTAAATTAAGTTATTTTAGATTTAGATTTAAATTTAAACTTAAATTTAAATTTAAATTATTATTATAGCTTGTGAATTTTTATATTCTGAAACAAAAAAAATTTAGATATTAGTTATACGCCAAATTTCATTTTAACAACATAATTGTTTTATTTTAAAAATTCTAAATTAAGTTATTTTTTATTTTTTAAAAATAGTATTAAAAATAAAAAATAACTTAATTTAGAATTTTTAGTTTTTATAATGTTTAAAACACTTTTATTTCAAAAATACAAACGTAGAATTACCCAATATTATGAAAACCATACCAATTATTGAACTAGATGAGGTACTATTTCACATTGATATATTTTAAGTGATACATATTTAAAATAAAAAATATTCATATGTAATAATAAAAATGAATTTTAAATTGCAAACAAGATAATATAAAAAAAAGATAATATCCATCAATACTCTATCATTTTAATCCAAATTATAAATACTTATTTTATAACTTATAATTTTAAAATATATACATATGTACATATTGTATACATATTTCTCACATTTTTGTTCATTTTTCTCCATTTAACAATGTTTATTGAGTATAAATATACATAAATTTTAGTTATAAGTGATTTTTGTTGTCACTGGATTGAATTGGCCAGTTCGATTCAGTTTTCAACTTCTCATAGCTGTAGAATTAATAAAAAAAATTTCCAGTGTTTAAGTTCAAAAAAATAACTTACCACGGGCTACCACCATCGGTGGTTAATTTGTTTCATAATGACCCAACCAGGTTAATTCGAATAGTGTGTGAGTACGTATCGTCTTGACTCTTGCGCTTCAGCTTTTAGGTAGGAAATTTCACGCAATTATATGGTTGTTGTTGTTTTATAAGTTTCAGTATTTACAATTATAACTAGAAAACGACACGGGGTTAAAGAAAAATTTATTTTTTTATGCTTTTAATGCTCCATTTATAAAAAAAAATTAAAGAAAGAGAATGCAATAGAAAATGTAATATTAAAAAAAAATATTATTGAAACTTTATTTTTATTAAAATATCTTATATTTTAAAGTATTAAATCTCTCTCAAATATATTTTGTAATTGAGATGAAGGGTTTACTTTGTGATTTATCAGCAGAATTATAAATTATATTCTTACCGGGGCACATAAGGTTAGGTTTTTTGTGTTATAATTATATAAAAAATATAATGAAACATTAAATAATATTTTACGGCGGAAAAAAACAGTTTTTTTACTGTATAAAGAACAATAATTTTTTATGCAATTTACAAAAGGCAAAGATATATTAAGATAACATATAAACTATGATTTTCGTTGGTCACAGAAGGATAGTTGGAGTGAAGAAGAAGAGAGAATATTAGTAGAAACACATGCAAAGGTGGGAAATAGGTGGGCAGAGATAGCGAAGAGAATTCCTGGAAGAACAGAGAATGCTATCAAGAACCATTGGAATGCCACCAAAAGGAGACAGAACTCCAAGAGAAACCAGAAATCTGCACACAAAACCTCCAACAACAATGGAAGAAAGCCTCCTCCTTCCATTCTTCAAGACTACATCAGAAGCAAGACTCTCTCCAATATCCCCCCCATTGTTGATGATCATCATGTCGTCACACCTGAAAACCAGTTCCATCTTGTGATTTCTGATGATCAAGATCCCTCTAAAGAACCTGTCATGGTTGAACCATTGGATGATGAGCTTCTCTTCATGCAACAGTTCTTCTCGGAGAATTATCAGACTCAGAAGGTTCAGTCCACTTTGGATTTTTATCGAACAGATGGTGGGCGTGAGTGTTATCTTCCTGAACAGAGTCCTGCTGCTTTAAGTGGTGCTCCCATGAAACAACACCATCATCATTCTGATCTGTTTCTGGCTCAGTTGCTGAATGGGGTTGGTTATGATTCTTCGTTTTTCTGCTGTGATTATGGAGAAGAGCAAAACTTAAACACGGGTTTACAGGTAGGGGATGATCAGCAAGGTTGGTATGAACCCAGGAGAGAGATGGATCTGATGGAATTGGTTTCCTCTCAGCTTTCAGCTAGCACCAGCAATAGGAACTCCTAATTGCTTCAATTCAGTTCATTTCAAGTCCCTAAGTGCGTGAAATCTAAATCCTAGTAGAACGATGAACTTCACAAAGTATGGTAATTATTGCTCATACTTTTTATGTCTGTGTTTTAGAATTGAGTGAAACTATTCTAGTTTCACGTTAGAGTTGGGGTGGATATTCTGGTTTGTGTTAGGTCTTTTAAACACAAGGTTCCTTTCGTTTTATTTTTATATTTTTCTGCCTTATGTGCTTAAGACTGCAAGTAAGCTTCTTTGATAACTTAATTGTTCTTTCGCTTTAATTTATTCATTTCGTCATGTGTGTTAAGGATGATGACCCTTTCAATGATTGATTGATCTTGAACTTCAAGAGTGTTGTGTGTGTGTGTGTGTGTGAAGACACGCACAGCATTGCATATACTTAGTGCACATATGTATATGTATATGCATATATATCCTTTGTGCTTCAACCATTGAAAATATTACCAAATAATCATGAAAATCCACACAAGCTGATAAGCAGGACTCCTTTATTTAATAAAATTAATAATACATGCCCCAATAAGAACGTGACAGATATGCATTGAGGATTTTCGTTCTTGTTTCCAATCTGTATGCAGCTCATACAAACATAACAACATAAATGCTTAGGAGAATATGTCGATATTCCCCGTCAGGAACAGCCTTTCCTGTTTCCTCTGAGCGAGGAAAAGCTTGAAACACCATGAAGATAAGTTCTCTTGCACTTTTTTTTTTTAAAAAAAATAATGATAAGATTATGGTATCTTTAGACTTGGTCTGAAACAAAATACCCTCCATTAACGATTAACATGAACTTGAGAGCATGGACAAAAACTATACAACAATATGAATGTATTGATTATCGAGACATTTTAGCTCTGGCAAAGAATACCCCAGCAAAGAGACCTGGAAGCAAGAGTGCATTATCAATATTAAGAAGAAGATAGGAAACAAGCAAAAATATTCATGATAGTACAGTGGTGCTGTTGATTACCAAACAAAATGCTGAATAAATTCGATATGCTGAGGGGAACTTTGAATGCTAAAATGCCAGCAATGGAGATCGGAATCTTGTTCAGGGAACCCACCAAACTGTGAAACGAAAACAAAACAAGATGTTTGAAAAAAAAAGATGTGCTGCTTATGGCTTATGAATAGTACAGCTTCCTACAGATTATCTGTATTGATATTAATGACTATCACTTTCATAGCAAGTAAAATAGTTATTACCATGAGAGAGCCTATCAGTCTTAGATTCAAATAATGATAGTCTAGAGTTTGCCAGTGCATCAAATATTTTTAACAACATACATTACCTATATGTTGTAGGACCAGTTTGATGTAAGAACCACATGGAAGTAAAGCTGATGGAAAGTCCTAGTATTCCACTAGCCGTTGCAACAACCCAAAATATTGGCAGTTTAACTACATCCCTGAAAATGAAAACCAAAAGTACAGTGAGGAACCAGAGGGTTTTCTCAAATTGAAAATCACAGAAAAATATTTACTCACACATGAATTATATAATCCCACTCGCCGAAAAGGAAAATCAAGATGATGGCAAAAGGTAAAGACAGTAAATTGTTCAGCAACACCATAGAAACTTCATTGAGAGATCCAGATTTAGTTGACTTTTTTGCTTCATCCATAACCCACCTCAGGGTAAGCTTAAAAAAAAAAAAGATGGTTCTAGCTCAAATTTGGGAACACAGATTATGGGTGGAATAAAGAACATAGGATGTGGCATAAAAACTAAATATTCATACAGAGTAACTTGCGGTAAGAATACAATTGATAATCTGCCAGGCATAACCGGCTGCATCAAATGATAGGTCCGTAATGCCGCCACTGATAGCAGAGATAATCTGTACCAAGTATGTAAATAGGCCAATGAGACTTCAAAAAGTCAATAGGTTTTTTTCAGGATAATACAATATTATAGTTGATAAAAGATTAACAAAGTATCAGGAGCATAGAAAACAAATTAAAGTATCAAAGTTCAGAAGAAAGACACATGACTTTAGAATCAAGCAAATGGAATTATCATTTCTGTGATTTCTGAGCTTTAATGGAACAGTCAAGAAAAGTTCATTGTCCAATTATTCAAAGTCACAAACAACAGACCTGAAAGATTCCTCGCGAACCTCACATTACCAATGAAATATGGTTAGGTCAACAAAACAGGAAAGGAAGTACCAAAGTTCCCAAAGATTAAATTTTGTGATAAGCGGACAAGTAGTATATTCAAATCCTTCTACAAGTCTTTAAAAAGTTATATGCAAACTTTATGAGTATTTAAATTCCATAAAAATATTTAACCTAAACAACTGTAGAGTTTGGCTAAAACAAGCACTAGAAAACTTTCATGACAAGATGATGTATGCATGTGGCCATCTGAGATATACAGTAAAAAGACAAATTAATGCTTTCCTAATACATGATCCTAACCAGCATTATATTCCTATTTGTCAGAAATACTAAGCTACCAATGAGTTGGAGGCAAGAGGGTCATATACCATCAAAAACATGGCAGTCCACACTTTTGGATTTTGACCTTTCCGGAACATATATAACTCTCCAATTGCTGTTATAATATTTGTCACATTCTTGAGAATTGTCACCATCGCAATATTGATGTTTTTCAAACTGAAAAGAAAAATGCGCTAGAAGACATTAAAGGTAGATAAGAGTGGTAACTACGCAGTAGACAATATCAGACAATGTTGATCCCTTGAATTTTCAGTACTGTCTTATTAATCAACTTCCACATACATAGGTCTAAAAGCAGCATCTAAAAAAAATAAAAAGCAATTTATTCATACCTATACATGCCAGACACAAGCATGCCAATAAATATCACATTGACAGGGATCCAGACCCTGACCAGCTTCCAGTTGAGCTTTTCAACAGAAACTGTGCCAAAGAAACCCAGAAGAACAACAACCAATGTGCTTATTAAATTCTGCAAATAAGTACAATATAATTATTAATTTTGCATTTATCATAAAGAAAGAAAATAAATCGATGAAGCAATTACAAGAATAGTTTATCAATCTAAACAATATATATATATATATATAATAAAAAAAATAAAAAGCACATATTATAAGGTGTCTAACATGATTCTTAAGTGCATGTGATGCGGAGAAATTCCCATTAATAAGAACTTTGATGTCATCAACACATCCTTTCAAGCTTCAATTTTCAATATTATCATAGTGAGAATCTATTCACAATTATCTGGAGCATTCAACTCACCTGGTAAAACATTAAAGATATTCCTGCGTTGAAATTATAACTTGACAAAACGATTTTGTTCAACATTATCATGCTGCAAGAAGAAACACAGTAAGCTGTTCCAGAGAGAAGAGGCCCAGACTTCTTTGTTGGTCTATGCAGTCGCCCTTCCTCCCCTCCAACGTGGCTGACGTTGTAACCAAGCGTAGCTTTATTTGCCTTCAGAAACCTGCTTGAAATGATGAATGTGTTTCACTTGTTACTTAATTACCAATATTCGCAAAGAGATTGTAACATTATAAATTTTAATTTTGCTACAGGAACGGAAGCAGAGAAAGGGAAATCCACAAAAAATAAACAACTTTGGTGCTCTAAGGAAAAAATCATTTCGTAATAAACAAATACAGACAAGAAGATTTGCTTCGCACCTGTCATTTGAAGCTCTGCGGTCTGCATTCGTTGAATAGTTGTTGATTGAAATCTTTTCTTGCTCACGAATTCCGTTAAGATTTTCATGCACTGCATCAGCGTCTTCATCTAGTAACAGTTTTGAAGGTAAGATGCTCAACTCTGGTTCTTCTTTGAAGCCATGACGACCAATATCTATTTTATAATCAGTCGACATATCGCTGACCTGCAAGTAGGAAAATATCAATTCGAAATTGATCGAAGTCAGCAAAGATGGACAGTACTCTTTTACATTATATGAAGGCCATAGCATAAAAGACTAACAAGATAGTTAATTCACAAGAATTTCATGGCCCTATTTGCTGCAAATAAACAAGAGATTGCAGCAAATATTCCATTACTTGGCCAATATTTTTAAATGCTTTAAATGCTAGCAAGTCACAACTGTGATTCCTGGTGCGAAAGCTCACAAAGTTCCTTAAATGAACAAAAGAACATTTAAAAGCAAAGTAACAGCCAACGTATAACCAAAAGCGAATGCAAATTTTCAGGACGGTATTGAAATTTCAAGATTATAGAGTTGGAAAACAATTCTTCAGCAAAGTCCAGTCCATAGCTTTTCCTAGGAAACGCTTATTTTAAAAAAAGTATAGCCTGCTGAAACCATGTGATACGTCATGCAATTCCTGCATGCCTTTAACACCGTCAACCCACTTGGATAAGAGCAATGATGGAAGACGACAATCCAGCAGAAAAAAAAATACCAAAAAAGATCAATGTTAGAATAAAAAGTCCAAACCGACAAGAAACTATGACTAAAACCAGAACAGAAGCAATAAATTGAAGCTCGTACCGACTGGAACCGTGGGAATTTCAGGGTAAATGCACCAGATAACTATTTCACGCACAGTAATCCACAGCACAACATGTTCACCGACAAATAGAAAAAAGACACCGAATTTCCTTTCCGATGCCCTTATGAAGATAAATTGAAGGGAGCTCAATATATCTTGGGAAGTGAAGAATCGAAATTAAACCACCGAATTGCAAAAAAAAATCGTGCAAAAAACGGGAGGTGAGATTGTGCTTTTAGAGTAGCACGCAACGGAAAAAGTGAAGGGAACGATCTTGAATCAGAAGGTATTGGCACCTTAGAGGAAAACCCATGAAGCGAGCAATTAATGATCTGGAGTAGTTCATGAATCCTGGCCTTCGCCATCTTCAGAAGGCGAGATTCCTGGTGGAAGCTAACCGCCAAAGGAATAGAATATTGAGAATGTAACGAATTCCGAGACTCGCAAAGTCAAAGAGAACAGAAGCAGATGCCTTGAAGAGCAAGACACAGCTATAGTATGACTTTATGAGCAAGAAGTGAGGAAGAACGTGATGGTGGAGTTTTTTGCGAATGAAGCTACATGGAGCCAGGGAGCTCGAGCAGCAAATATATATATATATATATATATAATGATGGTCAGTGAAGCTACGAAGAGCCAGGGAGCCCGAGCGACAAATATACATGCATATAAAAGCCACATGGGGCAGCGAGGTCAACTTCTGAACTGTAGCGTTTTATTATCAGTCCTTTTATATATATAACTCATTTTATATGACTAAACTCAACAAATAATCTAATAATATTTATTATGTTTTATATTATAACTATTTTAATTTTTAATTAAGTTTTATATAATAAAACTATCATCTTTGTAAATAATATGATTTTTTTTTAAACATTTTTTTTAGACAAAACTTTCTTTTGAGCCTTCGAAGACAGACAGAAGGGAGTTTCATTTGATCCTCTTAAAAAAAAATAATGAGATTAAGCATCCTCATATTTGCAAAATTAAATAATATTGATAAGTTTTCATTGTTATAGTTTGTGAATAATATATAATTGTATATTATTAATATACTATCATGGCTCATAAACTTGAAAAAAGAATAATCATTTTTTTAAAAACAGATAAAACACAATCCGTAAAAAATTATGAACATCTTAGTTTATTATAGAGAATTAAATATCGAAACTAATTAGTTTCATTTTTCATCAAAAGAAATGATAAGATTAAACATCTTCATATTTACAGGATTAAATTGTGTTAATAAATTTTCACGTATATAGTTTATCAATGATATGTACTATTGTGGATCAGAAATAAGAAAAAAAACATAATTATTTTCCCAAAATTAATCAAATGCATGCTGTAAAATATTTTTGGATATTTTAGCTCATCACAGAGAATTAAATTTCTCTTTGTAATGAAAATTATAGGGTTACATTCATTTTTGTGCAAGGAAGTTTAGTAATAAAGCTCATTTGTAGATGCACAAAATTGAACTACTCATATTGAAATGTCTCTTGTAAAAGATTGTATTAGCTAGGACAACAAAAAAGCAATTTGTAAATATCACGTTGATCTCTGCCCATCAAGAAAGGGAAGAAATTATTGTGAAAGGAAAAGAGATATGATGAATGTGTGTGCAGGTATTTAATTTGATTAATTAAATATTAAAATTATTTAATTAGTTATAAGATGTGTATGTGTATTTGTGGATCAACTTATGCAAAATGTTTCAATAATATATTTTTTTATGAATAAAAAAATCTCCTCTAATTAATTTTATAAGTGGGTAATATTTTAACATATTTAAAAACTCTATCTATAATTTATGAGATTTATATTTTTTTTATGCTGGTTGAGTAATTTTCTCTTTATTATATTATAATTTTGATTTGGATTTTTATTATTTTATTTAGTTAATGTTAATTCATGGGGGGCAGACGTGTGTGTTAGATTAGACATGACAACTTATTTGCGAAGGCAAATGACGTCGTTATGGTCAAAAGTCTGCCGAATATCTGATTATTACATGATAGGCTGAAACGTAAGGTATTTGAAGTGATATGTATTGCGCGAAAAGCATTGAACGTGAAGATATTTTTAGCCACGTAGATTCTCCTGTTCTGGAGAAAATTTAGAGTTAAATTTCAACTGAATTGACTTTTCATTCTTCCCCATGTTTTGTTAGGTTATGTGTGTATTTTTTTGGGTAATCAGGTTATGTTGGGATTTTATTGTTGCAAGCCAAGAGACTTTTAAAAGATAGATTTTTGTTATAATTATTAATTGATATTTGGCTGCTACGTTTTAAGCTCAATTTGTAAACCAACGAAAATATAATTAAAAAAAAATCAGTTTTCTAGACCAAAATCAAAACAGCCTTGAATAAATTTCAAACAAAAGTTGGTCAAGTCCTGACTTTTAAGATTGTGAGTGGGGCTTTGCTGATTATCCGATGACCCAATTAATTTGATCCTATCTAAGCCAATCCGATTGGTTGAGCTAAGCATCGGGTTAGGGTCAATCCTAACCCAACCCTACCCCCAAAAACATATTTATATATTTTTATTTTTGTAAATTTTATTTAAAACTTGATTATTTTATAGTGTTATTTTACTTAATATTTTTAATTTATTATATTGTTTTTATGTTTATTATGAATATTTGTTGTGATTTCATTTTTTTAATATTTTTAAATATTTGAAATTGATTTTTTTACTTTAAATCATGTAAAAATAATGAAATTTTTTTAATTATATACAATTTTAAGAATAATTACTTTAAATTCTAACATTATTTTTATATAAAATCCATTTTAAATAATTATGATAATAATTTTTGCTAGTAAATAAAATTATTTTCATATTTTTAAAATAATTTTTGATCATTGGATTAAAACTTGGCCCCCTCCTTCAACTAGTCTAATGCTCGAATACACACATTGGGTTGAATATAAAGCTAAGGTGGAGCTTGGCCCATATGCAACCATAAAATTCAAATCTCATTATTAATGTAAGCATTTTTTTTATCACAAGGTCAAGGAGAAACCATGTAGAAAGACTAAAATCTATTCATGTTTAAGGCCAAGAGGCTTCTACACTCTTGCAGGGGTACATAAAAAATCATAGTGAGATCTCTAATATTTTTAATAATGTCAGATAAAGGGTGACTCCTAGAGTAGCTATTACTAATAAGAGACAGTGTCTCCATCGAGTTTGTGTAGATGTTAACTTTGAAAATTTTTTCATTCCAGTAGAGGTTAAGTCCTTCAAAGATTTCATAAATCCTTTAATCCAATTTTCTTTATCATCTCTGATAATGTCTCCATAAGCAATAATGCCATTGTTGTTGACAAAGCCATCCATGTCTAGTCTTATCCATCCAAGTTCAGGTGCACTCCATTTGACATCATAAGTAGCACCTCCTTTGTTAAGTTGATTGTATTTTGAAAGGAGCCTGAGATTATTGTTGACTTGTTGAGTGCTGCACAATGTAATGTTGCTATCTAAGACTTCATCTTCAGAGTAGAGCTTCTTACATCTAGTTTTCCAAATGTTTCAACAAACTTGGGTGAAAAAGTCTTTGCCAAGCTATTCTTCTTGTATTTAAGCTTCCTACTCCATTTTTTGCATTCTAACTTACCAACTTTTTCCAAATCTCTTTAATTTACTGACAATCTCTTAAAATATGAATAGAAGAGTTAGAGGAATTACACCTAAAAGGGTAGCTGTTTTGTTGGGAAGAGTGACTGTGAAATTTATTTAAACGATTCCAAGCAGCCTTCTAAAGAAAATATTTGATTTTATCATATGTAGGCCATTTCTAAATTTTAGACCAAATATCAAAGTGATTTTGGCTCTTGTAGGTATCCATTGCTTTGTAAGCAAATTTAATGGAAAAATTGCCATCAAATGACACCTTCTAAAAAAGAATATCTTCTTTCTGTTGATTGGGAGGCTGCACAAGCAAGATTTGTTTGATGATATTAAGGTGAAAATAGTGACTTAAGAGGTCAATATTCCATCATCTATTATTATCACAAAAGTCAAAGACTCTAGCCTGGCGAATAGAGTCGGCATTGGAGAAAGCATATTTAACAAGAGGTACTGGGAGTGAAGACCATTTGTCATACCAAAAGAATATTTGGTCCCCTCTACCAATTTTCTAACCAACATGTAGCATGAATTTATTCCAAATTTTGCATATACTACTCCACGTGTAAGAGCAAGAGCTAAGTTTGATCGACATCAAAATTTTAGGTTTTTTGCATTTGTGTTTATCATGTAAAATCCATACCCAAAGACAATCAAGTTTGGTGATAAGGCCCCAACAAAGCTTTATAATGAAGGAAATATTTTGATTTTTAAGCTTCTTGATGCCAAGTCCCCTATCTTTTTTGTCCATGACAATGCAATCCCAAGAAAGAAGATGAGGTTTTTTATTACCATCAGATGAATTCCAAAGGAAATTCCTAGATATTTTTTCCAATTATGATAAAATATTATCAAGTAAGAGCATGGTTTGCATAATATAGCTGGGAAGAGCCAAAAAGACAGATTTAATTAGAACAGATTTTTGAACCATGTTCAAGTAGCGGCTTTTCTAGTTTGACAATTGAGAATTCATTTTATCAAAAAGAGGGGCAGAAGTAAGTTAAGATGCCTTTTCATGAATAATAGAAATTTTAAGGTATTTACCAAGATTTCCTGTAAGTGGAATCCTTAACTTAGCACTAATTTGTGAGGCTCTGCTAATGTTGACATTCTTCGAGCAGAAGAGCTTAGATTTATCTGTGTTTATCTTCTATCTAGAGGCATTGCAAAAATCAGAAAGACATTATTGCATGACCATAGCTTGTGCTAGAGAGCATTCTACAAAAAGAATAATATCGTTAGTAAAAAATAAATGAGAGATAGGAGGCTCATTAATAGTTAGCCTAATTGGCATCTATTCATTATTATTAATGCTATTGTTAATATAATGACTTAAGTGTTTAATGCATAGAATAAGTAGATAAGGAGAAAGAGTATCCCCTTGCCATATGCCATGTGAAGGTATGAATTCCTTAGATGGATCTCTGTTCCAAAGTACACGCATTTATGTAATGGAGATGGTAGCCTGGATTAATTTCCTATAGTAATTATTGATCCTAATGGCTTTAAGAGTATTGTCAATGAAGTTCCAAAATAATCTGTTAAAAGCCTTCTCATGATCTACTTTGAGAGCCATGAAACCTTTTTTTTAGTTTTGTTCCTCATGGTTATCACTGATTAAGTGATTCATACAAGTGTAAAGGTGAT